CCAAAGAACAACAACAAAAACCCCAACAACTTGGGGAGAGATTGGTTTATTTGGTTTCTACTTCCCTATCACAGTCTCTTATCAAAGGGAGTTAGGGTAGGAACCTGGAGGCAGGAATTGAAGTAGAGGCCATGTAGGAATGCTGCTTACTGGCTTGCTTCCATGCCTTGCTCAGCCTGCTTGATTGTACTACCCAGGATCACCTGGACAGGGGTGATACCACCCAAAGTGAGTTGGGTCCACTCTTGTCAATCATTAACCAGGAAACTGCACTACAACTTTCCTACAGGCAAATCTTATGGAAGCATTTTCTCAACTGAGGGTCCCTCTTTCAAAATTATTCTACCTTGTGTTGAGTTGACATAAGTATGTTCAACACAAGTATGTGCCTCCATTTTATAGAGGAGAAAATAGAGAACACAGAGTTAGAACTGGGTAAAGGAGTCAGGTCTGGTGACCTACAGACTAGGCCTCTGGCTTCATGTGACATTATTTCTTTATTGATGAGCTGCCCAGAGTAGAGAGCAGTGGGTTATTTTTCTACTTACTTTGAAAAAAGACCTTTCTACCAAGGAAAGTTTTTAAGCTCTGGGAATAATGTTGAAAAAGGCCCTATTAGACAGAAAAAAGAACTCCAAAGCACTCCTTGACGTGCTGTCAGCCAAACAAAGAGAGGTAACTGTCAGATAACTTCCAAAGAGGGCTCCATGGGCTGTGGTTGTAGATCAGTGGCAGAGTACTTGTCTAACATGTCAGAGGCCCTGAGTGCAGTCTCCAGTACTGCAAAGCCCAAACCAAATCAAAATATAGTAAGCTCAGGAAGCATGTCTTTGATGATTAGGAGGCATCAAATTCAGATTTCAGTGTCTGTCAAGTAATAAAGAATAGTTAGTGGCCAACAAGAACATAGGTAATAAAGTCCTTATTCTTTTTCTAGAACATGTCCACAATTCTGTATTCAAAAATTTTGCAGCCTGATGTAGTTTGGAAAAGAGATCATTTTGGATTTAGGAAGAAGCATAGAATGTATTATGCACCCCTGAAAGTATCTGGGGACCACAGTCATATATCAGTAATGACACATATATTTGTAATAATGGTAATGAGTTAAAGATTAGGGATAATTGGTCAGTTCCATAGCTGAAGTTTTCCTGTGTCCTGTCTGGCCTGCGATCAAGACAAATCTCTCTCATCCACCAGTCCCACAGTTGCTCAGACCCAAGTAAACACACAGAGGCTTATATTAATTACAAACTGTATGGCCTAATGGCTTAGGCTTCTTGCTAGTTAGATCTTACATCTTAAATTAACCCATTTCTATAAATCTATACCTTGCCACGTGGCTTGTGGCTTACCAGTATCTTTACATCTTGTTTCTCATGGCGGCAGCTAGCAGTGTCTCCTGACTCAGCCTTCCTGTTCCTAGAATTCTCCTCTCTGCTTGTCCCACCTATACTTTCTGTCTGGCTACTGACCAATCAGCATTTTATTTAGTAACCAATCAGAGTAACACATTCACAGCATACAGAGTGATATCCACAGCACAGTCCAGTTCAAGTCTTCATACTCATGACTTAGTCTTATGGCCTTTTAGTGCTTTGTGGTTCTGAGAATTTCAGATAAAGGGCTGAGGGCAAGTATAATTTTTTAATGTGTGTGTGTGTGTGTGTGTGTGTGTGTGTGTGTGTGTGTGTGTGTGTTTGACAGTGTCTTTCCGTGTAGCTCCAACTGGCCTTAATGTGGCTATGTAGACCAGACTGGCCTTGAACTCACCAAGATCTGCCCACTGAGGTTGGGATTAAAGATGTGTCAGTACAGCCAGCCAAAACTGAATTTTTATAATGTTTTAATCTGGACACAGTTCTTAGAGTTAGCTGAAAATTATTATTTAAAAACCATGTTTATAGAAAAGCCCCCAACATGTCATTCTAGTTTTTCTCATTCTCACCTTACAACATTGGCTCCCAAACTATATTGTACAGTTTGAATGAAGCTACCTAGAAGAAAACAGTGAAACTGCATGGAAAACGCTGCTGTGCACACACACCTGCAGGAGCAGAAGTCATGAAACAGCACAGTGGTCCCAGGGAGCTACTGGGGAAGGACTCACACCCATGTTTCTCCTACACATCAGAATCCCAAGAACACTGAGGCTGCAGAGACCAAGGGCTTCTCACCCAGCACCATGTGGAACCCACTGAAGCTAGAGGAATCTGAGCGCCTCACTTTTTCACTAAGTTCAGCTGTGATAGCAACTCACTCCATCAGTCTCCCTCCCCTTCTTAGTTTGTATTATTTAATTTCCATCCCTGCATATGTCTTAGGATGATTTTGCTTTTGTTTATATATTGCTCAGCTGCACTTTAGGGTTTTTTCCCCTATACTCTTCAGCCATATCTCTTTTAACCCCTTCTTGTCCATACATCCTCTGTCTCTTATCCTTATCTCTGCATCTTTTTACTATGCAATTAAAACCTACACAACTTTAACAATCTCTAAAGTTTGTGGACCTTAAGTTTCCTGACATCTGCTTCCTAGCTACTTTGTACCCCTGAAATTAGAATTTTGTTAGTGTTCCTGGTGCTTTTCAGATGTGAAGTCATTGAGGAATTACAGTAGCAGCCCCCATGATGCCCACCCTTCTTCCCCGAGGAAGTCTTTCCCTACAGGGCAGTGGATACGTGTTTCCTGATTCTGCATCCTGCCCTATTGTCCCTTCCTCCTAAACTTGAACACTGAGATTTGATTTAATCATACTTCAGAGTCCATTTACACTCCTAGTTTTGGTCAAACTCTTATGTTTTGTTATAAACAGTTAATTAAAAATGTTTCTACCTCTTCTCCCAACCCTACTCATTTCCCCCTTTAACATCATGCACTGTCATGATTGTGTTGTATGTCATTGAGTCCATATCTATCCTTATGAACTCGGCTATCTGCAAAATGTATTGTATAAAACCATAAACAAATTATTCAGTCACTTTAGAAACACCGTTATTGAAGATTATTTGGTTGGTTGTTATTTCAAAAATAATGTTCCAGAAAATTTACCTTTTATTACCATTGAGGAGAGAGGTTTTAATTAATCTATGAGAATGTGAGATTTAGCAATGGGCTTGAAAAATCTCCAGATATAGCTACCATTTGGAATAAGGAGGTAAGGATGCACTAGCCACTTTTTTACACAGTGAGAAGCCATGGCTTTGTCTTAACCCATACTGACCACATGGGGGTGCTCTAAGCCTTTTCTGTGTAGAGTAGTCGCCTCTCCTAACACACATTCATAGCATCTATGCCAGTCATGGCCTCGTATTTTTGGCCAATGGTCCTGTTCTGACAACATCCCCAAACCTGATTGTCTGAGGTAGACCTTCTCACTAAAATCTCTGTCAATTTGGAGTAGGGCAACATTACAAAGTTACCTTGTTAAAACTCTTTGTAACTGGTTATCTTTGGAGCTAAAGAAAGGAACAAATTTGCACAAATAAAACAAGAGTACAGGTCATTTGTTCTATTTTGCAACATGAGCTAATGTTAATATAATTTCTTTATTGGGACAACCTGTTGTTCCCGCTCCTCCTCTTGCCCAGGGTCTAAGGTGCTGTTGTGTACTTTGCTTTGCTTTTGAACCTTCATTTCTTTTACTCTATGTGTACAGGTGTTTTGTCTGCACGTTATGTTTGTGTACCGCATTGGTGCCCGATGCCCGGGGGAGGGGGACTAGAAAAGGATGTCAGATCCCCGGTAACTGGAGTTACAGATGGTCCTGAACTGCCATGTGAGTTCTGGGAATGGAACCTGGGTCCTCTGAAAGGACAGCCTGTGCTCTTAACCACAGAGCCATCTCTTCAGCTTGAGCATTTACCCCTATATCTGGCTCTGTGTTTTTTATTAAAAGAGAATTTTGCAATTCGTGTTACACCAAACTAGTTCCAGGAAGCTGGTTAGGTTTCTAGTACCAGGAATGACTTCCCACCTGTTGAGTGAGCCTTTCGTCCAATTAGACACCCATTGATTGCCACCAACATGTGAGCGCCACTTATTGCAGCTTTATGCATACTTTGCCATGCTAGTGATTGTTGTGGTTTGTGGGTGTTGCAACTGGGTGGGATTGTTGAATTATTTCCCTCTCTTGGCAGCTTACATAGTAATTTTTGGATCAGTGGAAGCTAGAGCACAGGAAAAAGGCTTTCATATCAGATCCAGCTCAAATCATCTGAGTCCTGTGACCTAAGAGATATCTGCAGAATATCACACTCAAACACAAAAGAATGTACATTCTTCTAAGTTCATAAAACAGTCTTCAAAAAAGGCCTCAATTTGAACACAAAACAAGGCTTTAAAATACAAATAACTTGAAATCATATCCTACATTCTGTCCACTGTGGATTAAAGCTAGATATCAAGAATAACTACAAAAAATGACAGAAAGCTTATAAACTTATAGAAGCTAAACAGCATACCACTGAATCAAAATTGGGCGAAGGAAGGAATCAAGAAAGTAATTTTAAGATGCCCACAATTGAATGAAAATTTTGTACACATTATCCAATTACTCATAAAATTTTATCTTCTTGTAGCCCTATCACACATTTTTATGAATGTCTATTTTCTTACACTCCAGAGAGCTATGGGTGTCTTTAAAAATGCTTTTTTTTTAATGGCCCAGTGATATGACTCAGGGAGTAAGGAGACTTGTTGCTAAGCCCGATAACCTGCATTCAATCCCTAGGACTCTCATGGTGGAAAGTGAGAACCAATTCGTGTGTCCCTGACCTCCACATACATGTTGGTTCAGGGACACACACCCTCTCTACACACAATAAAAATGTATTAAAAATTTTTTTTCTGTGTAAAAATGTTTATTTTTTCTAATGTTTTGAATACAGGGACTGCCACTAAGCAGGAAACAGAAAAATCAGGGTGTGAAGACCTTACCAGCTGCTGGCTAGCATGCAAGGAAAGGGGACCTCCCTGTGCCGAGAGCCAGGATACACAGGCAGGAGGCAGAGGCTCCTGACTCAGTTGAGGGCAGGTGGCTGAATGCCCAGGTTCAGGAAGAACGAAAAGGGGATTTTGGAGGTAGGCTTTATGGAGTTAAAAAACAGGCACATTATCCAACTTCTCCTTGTGGCCCCCAAGCTGCTGGCACAGCCCCCTGACATCGTCCCTCTCCCCACAAAACCAAAAGGAATAAGGAAGGAGGCAGAAGACGGAAGCTCTGAGGATAGGAAATGCCTGGATTGCCAGAGACCACCTGTGAGTGAGCCAGCCAAGCACAGGTGAAGCTGCTTGCCTCTGTGGGACTGGGCAGGACAGGACATGGCCAGGAGGTGCCTGAGACCATCCCAGTTCAAGCACAGGACCCTTGTAGCATGACCGAGGACACAGGACTGCTTTGGCAGAGGCAAAGTGAAGCAGAACAAGGGGTATGGAAAGGTCCTAGTAAGTGCCATCTCAGCCTGATCACTCCAGCTGCTCCCAGCAAAGGCTGGGCCTGGCTTACCCCCTGGGGCTTTTGGAAACCGGAAGGGGGACTAGGCCAGCTTGAAATAAGTGAGCTGTCCTCATATTCCTTCTCAGAGGACCCCATTTGAACCCTGTGATTACCAGGGACTTGGGCCTAAGGCAAGCAGAGTGAATGCACTTCTTGGAGAACAGAGAGAAGTTGGGCCCACAGGTCAGCCCTGGGGCAGCGTGCGGCTCCTTACTCCCTGAGGGCTCGGGGCCAGAGGCAGCCAGAGGTGCCACCTCCCTGTGCTGTTGCCAAAGGCAGGTTGGCAGGACTACCAGAGTGAAGGAAGAAGAGGGGTATGAAAACCAAGGTAGAGGAGAGCAACAGCCTTAGATGTGTGGGGAGCTGGGCGGCACATCAGGAGTTGTTCTGGTGCTGGTAGATGGATGCTTTCTCCTTCAGCAGATCCAGACACAGGTGGCAGCTCCACCTTCCTTCAGGAGGTTCAGACATGGATGGGGTGAGAAAGTACATGTGGTAGCCACGGTCACATTCATCACAGAAAAGCAGCTGGTCGTCATTCTCCGAGGTGCCGCAGAGGTTGCAGCGGTAGGTCTTCACAGCCGCCATCATCACAGGGGTGAACTGCAGGCAGGACGGATGCCCTGAGCGGCCACACTCAGAACAGGACACTATCTCCTTAGGCTGCCCTGTCTTCTTGTTGATTTTTGAGTCCCCCAGGCAGAAGTCACAGTAGTTGTTGGGCAGGGCTAATCCATCAGGTCCTTTCTTGGATTTCTGTTCCTCAGACCTCTGGGAAACAGGAGTGGGTGGTTGAGAGTCTTCTTTGTCCTCTCTTTCCTCCTCAGCCAGGTGGGAATGGGCATAGTGGTAACTGAGGCCAGGTCGGTTCTTGTAGCGTTTTCCACAAATGTCACAGGCTTATCTCGGTCCTCCAGGATGGAAGCATCCAGTTTCTTCCGGGCACTGCTCACACCCTTACTCTTGGACTTCCCCTTTCCCCGACGCTTTGGATATCTTCTTCATAGTCCTCCTCATCAAGGTCATCTAGGAAGTCATCAGGTTCAAGGATCCGCTTCCGGGCTCGACTGTTGGTAACAGGAAACTCACCCAGGCTGTCATCATCAACACAGGGCTCTGGAGCACCTCGTTTCTCCAGAGGGTCAGTACGCAACAGAGCCTCTAAACTGCGACCATCCTGAGAGATAAGACCCTCTTTCTTCAGGGTCTGGTCTGTGTCTGGTTTAATAGATGGAAAGGAAAGCCTAGGATCCTCAGGTGGGTGGGCTCGACGCTTTTGGCGGGCAGGGTAGGAGTACAACTGTCCAGAGGCCAATCTTGGTCCCCGGTGTCGCTTTTCCATCCAGATATAACAATTGCTCTGGGCTACTCCAGTCTGTGAGTCCAAGAAAGGCAGGTGCACACTCCGCTCAGCACAGAGGTGGGCGTTGTAATTGTGGCACTGTTCCATGGCATCTCTGTAGTACTGCTCCCCAAGGAGCTTCACTACATTCTCCACCACAGCCATCTTCCCTGCTCCTCTCCCTCAGGCTCGTAGTAAAAATTTTAAATGCTTTTCTCACGCTACTTGTAGAATGCCGGGTCTTAACTAGACCTGACTAGTCACCTGCCCCAGCATCCTTTAGTTCTTCTCTCTCTCTCTTTTAAAATAAGAACAGTACTGTTCATTTTCCAGATGCAATTTTATATAGCTAAGACTCTAAAAATACAAATACAAGGACTCTTTTGTTTGTGTGGGGGAGAGGTTCACAGGTGCTGTAATTTACTTCCCCTCTCCCCACCAGAAAACGGTGGAACAGTTTTCAAAACCATCCGTTTGCCACTAGCATTGCCTTATGCTCTTAAAAAAACTTTTTATTGATTCTTTGTGGATTTCACATCATGCATCCTGATCTTATTCTCCTTGCTTCTGCCCTCTACCCTTGCAACCTCCCCACAAAACAAAATTTAAAAGTAAAGCCAAATCCACCAACCAACCAACCAACCAACCAAACAAACAAACAAAACAACAGTGTGGAAGCTGTAGTGTGGCCCAGGGAGTCACACAGTCTGTACCCTTTAGTCCATACATCTTCACTTGTAAGTGTTCATTGCAATGAGTCATTGACCTGGTTGAGGCCTCTGGCTTCTGCTCTACTATTGATACTGGGCCTTCACTGGGACTCCTCTTGGATGTCCTGTTGTTGTTCTGTGTCATGGAGATCCTACAGCTTTGGATCTGCTGGTCCAGCCCCTTCACCTGCTCCAGCAGATCATAGGTGGGGTGGGTGTTGGGGCAGGCCAACTCATCACCCTGGTTCTGGGCCTGGGTAGTTGCAGGGTTGATCAGCCCACCATGTTTCTCTCCTTGTCAACCCTCACTAACTGCAGCACTCAGGAGAGCGAGCCCTGCACCTCCCCAGGGTGGCACAGTAGAACCTTCCCTGCTGGCAAGGGTGTGGGTGAGCTGGCCCTGAAGAGGAGAGAGTGGGAGAGCTAGCCCTACGGTCGGTCAACATAATGTGGGCAAGCGAGAGATACCCTCTTTGCCCCTCACCCCTCGCCTCTCACCACCTACTGCAGGCAGGAAAAGCTGGTCCCTGGGTCACGAGAGTGGGCCCTGCACTTCATCTGGACAGCACAGTAGAGCTGACCCCATGGACCAGGGCACAGGTGATCCCATGCTGCAAACAGGAGCGGGAGATCTGGCCCCACATATGGTGGAGTGGGAGAGGAAGAGATGGCATCCCCCGCTCCCCAGCCCCTCGCTACCTGTGGCAGGTGAGAGAGTTGGCCCTGAAGTCATAAGAGCAGGAGAGCAGGCCCTACACCTCGCCTGGGCAGCACAATAGAGCTGACTCTGTTGGCGGGTGTAGGTGAGTTGGCTTGGATGGGTCATGAGAGCAGCAGGACTAGTCGTGTGTCATGTCCCACCCACCCCCCATCCCATGTGGTGGCATGGGTGAGGAAAAAAATGCCCTCTCTCCCCTTGTTCCTTGCTACCTTTGGCAGGTGAGAAGGCTGGCCCTGGGGCCACGAGAGTGGGAGAACTGCCCCTGCCCCTCACCAGTTGTAGCACATGGGAGGGAGGGCACAGCAGCTTGCCTGGGCAGCACACTAGAGCTGACCCTGTTGGCGGAGGGCATGGGTGAGAGTGCATATGCTTTATGCTTCTTGTTGAATCCCTGTAGAGGTAATTTAGTGATTTGGATCCACAGCCTGTGTATGGTCTACGAAGGAACAAAGTTGCTAAGAAGCACTGTACTTTGAGAACATAGGCAAGGAGTATGGTCTATATGCACATTGTTCATGTATATGGGTGTATGGGTGCCATGCTGGGGATATTTCTGCAAAATAGGATTCTGTATCACCACACTCATCACTGGGCTTTAAATATCCTTCACACAAAGTGAATCAATAAGAAGTGTAATGACTCATATTATGAAAGGACCATCGAGTTTCTTTAAATGGCATCTTCCTAGGGACTTGTTTGCAGATCATTAACTCTTTAATTGAGGGGGAATGTGAAATAATTTGTGTTTCAGTTCACTGGCCTTTAAATGACAATCATTATACAAACAAAACAGATCAGAAATTATGCTGCTATGTGTCTGGTATTGAAAATTTACATTTGGTATGCTAGAGAGCTAAAAGTATGAAAGCAGTCAGTCCCTAGGTATCCGTAAACTTAAAAGTGTATCATCAGCATACACACACTCGCTGTGATGCCTGTACAGTGCACTTCAGTGTACATATAGTCTCCTGGTTTGTTGATCTTCTTAACGGTATATATTCTCATTTCAAAGTCTAGGGGTGGCACTAGAATGCCTTCATTTCTCAGGTGGTGCCAATGGTGTTGGTTTCTGAACCACGTCTGAGTAGAAGAGTCTAGAGCCTCTTTCCAAAGGTTCATGAGAGAATAAAACTTTCCTCTCTTCTCTTGGGACAAATTAGCATTGTTTCCTTGGGCAGAGAGCAGCAGCCAACATTTAGAATCACTTTAATTAATTGAATGCTTTTGGCCTAATAGATAGCTAACCAGATAACCTAAAAGCTTACGTCCCAGGAAGTTATTATGCTTACTCTAAAGTGCTTGTGATTTCCAAACCTCATTTTCTTGTTATTACTTCATCTTATTGTGTTAAATGTGTTTGCTCGCAGAGCTAAAGAGCCTCAGCATGCAAATGCTGAGCCAATTTGATTCTAGCACTTATCAATCTTGCCATTATTGACATTTGTGATCTGGATGATTCTCTGTGCTTTGCAATGTAGCATGCTTATCCATGTCCCTAACTTCACAGATGCCTGTAGAACTGTCACCTCCACCAGCAAGGCATGCACCACATGGAACCCAATCCATTGTCAAACCCTACTTCCAAAGGAACCAGGGATACCAAATCACCGTTGGCAAGGACAGAGGGCAGATGGTAGGAGTCTCAGTTGGATTTTGTAAGAACAAGTCTGTGAATCCATCCCTGTTCCCCAAATCTGACTTACCAGAGCTACCAGTAGTGACTGAAAACTGCCTTTGTCTAAATCCACCAATAAATCCATGGATTATTCCCCTGAAAGGCCTTAAAAATACAATTTTCTTCTATAGTGCTTTTTGTTTTGTTTGACACTTTTAGTGTTTTTTGTTTTGTTATTTTAGTTAGTTTTGATTTGATTTTTTGAGAGAGAGGAAGGACATGAAATTGTCTGGGTAGGAAGGTGGAGGAGGACCTAGAGGAGTTGGAGGAGGGGTAAGAATATGATCAAAATAGATTGTATGAAAAAAATTTGAGTAAAAGTAAGTTAATTTAAAAAACCCAAAATACAGTTTAATAAGGCCAAAATTAACAGGCAGATGTGCAAGACCTAAGCTAGAGAACTTTCTTTAATTTTTGCTACATTTGTTTACTTAATTATTTATTTACTTATTGTGGGGCATGTCATGGAACATGTGTGGAGGTCAGAGGACAACTTACAAGACTTAACTCTCTCCTTCTACCATGTGGAACCACAGAGTTTGAACTCAGGTGTTCAGACTTGGTAACAAAAAGTGCCACTATGGGTGCAGTTGATAAGTAAGGCCAATTCAGAGCTGTTATTGACTAGTTACACAATCTGTTGCTCCGGCACAGAGGAAAAGTGAGATTATAGAATTTATGCTCTGCTCTGAATCCTTATCACCCTCATTCCCAAGGTGGGCCACTGGAATTTCACAAGGACATGTTTAGAATTCCTATGAATGGACTAGGTATAGCCAAGGAGAAAACAGTAGCTTACCTTTGTTTCAAGTGTGTTTGTATTTCAAGAAGATATTCCTATTTCAGGTACTTAGGTCTAGGATCACCTTCTACTCTATTATTAAAGGACTTGTTTTATAGAGTATACTTAAAACCTGCATACTGGACCTTAACTTACACCATTTATTCTGTATTGACTGAGGGTCGTTTCAGGGAATTTTTCTTGTTTGTAATTGTTGTAGCTTGGGACAAAGTCAGCAGCCAGAGAAGTTGGTGAAATTGGCCACTATATTCAAGGTAAGACTTGGAAAGGGGAAGGATAAGTAAAAACAGAAGAGATAACAGTATAGGATTTCTTAATTTGGGTGGAGAAGTGGTTTCATTCTACCATAAGTAAGCAAGCTCTCATGTGATTCCTAAAAGCACAGCTGCCAGAAGAAAGATGTTTTAAAACATCTAAGTCAACACTCATGAGGGTGTCAGTCATCTTTGTCTTTTAAAGAGGGATCTGAGGTCTTTTACAGAGTAGACACTATCTTCTGGTCCTCAGGTGGGCGGAGCCCTTAGTCTATTGTCACAGCTTTTATCTGGGACATATGAACCCAGCTGTTGATTGTCAGCTATTTAAAAGCCACAGGGGTGATGAGGGCTACCTGTTCCTTTGTCAGTTTGTTTAATACCATCAGATACTATGAAAACTAGCAGTCAGGAAGGAAGCTACCAGGTCAGCTACACCTCAATTCTTCCAAGTCCTAGGTTCAACATATGTTGTGTTGGGTCTCACCTTCAAGTTTTGGGAGACAACCAAGGGAGAAGTAATAAAAGGTGTAACCATTGTTATTATTTTTGCAAGTTGATCATTTATTTTCATTTTTTTTGTTGTTTGAGAATTTTATACATGCCCACAATGAATTGTAACAATTTCCAACCCTCATTCCTTTCTCCAACTCCCCTTCAGTAGGTCCCCCCCAACTTCATATTTCATTATTTTGTTGCCCTCTCCTTCTCCTCCTCCTTCTCCTCCCCCTCCTCCTCCTCCTCTGCCTTTTGCTAAGCTACTAAGTCCAATTGGTTCTGCCTGTATGTGCATGTATGTGGAATCATTCATTGAAATACAGGGAACCTATCAGTGACCCACCCTCCAAGAAGAATGTTCTTCCTGCTCCAGTATCTATCTACTGTCACTAGCCCCTCAGTAAGAGGTAGGAATCAGTGAACACAACCCCCATCTCTTCTTGGATTTTGGCTGCTTGATCTTCAGCTATGACTGACTATACTAGCTATATCAAGTCAAGAAGACGGCAATTCACAGTGTCCCTCTCTC